GGGCGGAAGCAGGCTCCGGTTGCCGGAGATTGGACAGCGGCCGGCTTGTTTCGTGGAGCGAGAATACGGGAAAGCATGGTGATGGCGCGTTCGAGAAGCAGTGTCCTCTCCGTCCTCTTCGTGCGATGGCGGTCGAGGGGAAGCTAGGAATGAAAGATAGAGAGCACGCCATTGCCAGAGCTTCAGAGCTTGAGCTAGGAAGCAAAATCGCAACGATAGTTTATAGTTATAATAGATATAAATAAAAATAAAATTGATTTTAAGAAGAGTTAAGATATTATTAATAAATTAAATGAATATTAAATTCAGTTTAGATGTCAAATAAAATAGAATAATTTTGAAATTAAATATGATTAAATTTGAGAAAATGATTATAATGATTTTTTTTTTAATTAAACAATAGGAACTAATGAAATTACAATAATGACAAAAGTGAAAGGCCAACAGAGTATCATTAATTGCAGAGGGCATGATAATGATGGATACTAATCTCAATACCCAACTATCTACTTGATATAAAAATGTCAAGGATATTTACATACCTGTCCTCTAATACTAATATATTTATATATCTAACCTTATACCTTCATATTTATTGCATAGCATTCAAAATTTGAATATCACACAAAAACATTACTGTTATTCATTTTTTAAAAGAGAAATACACATTTTCATGTATAGTTTATGGCACGAAAAATTTTAAATATAAACATGTTAAACCAAAAAATGTTTGAGAATCACGTCCAAGGAAAAGAGCACGTAGGATAATAAAAAGAACGGAATCAACAGTAGAACAAGTTTTTCTTCATGAAAGAGCCTCATATTTATAGGTATGGAAGGTATCTTATATATATAATTACCTTTATGCCTCTTCATATACAAATGAACTCATGGGTACTAAAATAATTTATAAGATTCATAATACAAACGAACTTTTCATCGATGGGGTGACCCCTTACTTGCTCGATTTACTCCCATTCATTTGTCTCTTAGCTGGATGAACCACATAATGACGGTATGCGCTTTTCATCGATGTTCCTAGCGCAATTCCTTAGTCCGCTTTTCCCCCCGTGCTGGTTATCTTTTGCTCGATTGGTAATGTGGATAGCCTTTGTTCGACCATGAGGTCAGTCGGCTTGTCATATGGTCAGGTGACCAATTGGTATTTTGTGACGACCTTCGAACTTGAGTGTCGACTATCTGAATGATCTGATTTGATTCTCCCGACCAACTCCGACAGATGTCAGCTACGGGCCCACCTCGTTTGTCGTGTTTCATATCCTTACATGAAAATTCATGCCGCCATGATATAACCTTACAAAATATTAAACATGCAAATACATAAAAAATTATGTAGAATGTTACTATGTATATATATTTTCCTAAAATCAAATTACATATCAAGAAGCATCGGCAATATATAAAAATGAGTTTATTATATCTCTATTATTTTCTTCAAGTGATGACATAGTTTTTAACAAGAGTTTCTTATCATATTTATCAATGATGCCTAAACAATCACCTCACTAAATAATAAGAGCGAAATCATATATATAAATATATATAAATAAATTAATATTTTAAAATAAATCCATCAATATAAATTAATCCAAAATCTTCTTTTTTTTTATTAAATTATATTATTATTTTCTTTAAATATTGGGCAGAGTTGGGGAGAGTTGGGTAATAAATTTGCTTGTTTGCTAATGACTACTTATTTATTTTTCAATCTAATAAAAAAAATTAATTTTAGGATTGCAATTGACTCAAGATAATAATGACAAAATATTTTATATCCACTCAAATTTTTTTAACATATATTCTTTTTTGAAAAAAAAAAATCAATTAATCTTCTTACAATGTAATCCTAACAAGTAAAATGCCAAAATAGTCCCCAACTATTTACATAAAGTCATTTTAATTCCATAATTTATAGAAATAACAAAATAATCCCCCATTATTTTAAAGTTCAGTTTTAATAATTCTACTTTGAGACTATTTCAGCCAAAATTTAAATAGTCAAGTTGATTTTTTTTTTAATGTCTCGAGTTGATAATTTAAAAGAGTATTCATGTATTATAATCTTCTTATGATAACTAAATAAATTGAGCTTTAATAGTCTACCATGAGCAATGATGAGCTCGGATATTGACGCTATTTTAGAATCTTCATAGTATGGAAGTCATCTTACTTTGTTGATTAAGAGTTTAAACCTTCAACAGAGAGGTTAAGTTAACAAGTAAATTAGCTCAAATGTTTACAAAAGGAAAAATAGAGCTTTAGTTGGTTCCTTTAGTTTTGCCTTTTTGTTATGGGAAACCATTTTTACACACTTTGAGTTCAGAAACCTTTTGATTTTTCATATATATAATAATTTTAATTGTGTTACTATGTTTCACAATGATGTTTACAAGGCTTAAGATTAAGCCTTTCTGCCTCACAAATTTTCTATTATAGATTTTGTAACTCCTTTTTGAGTAATATAGCATTTTCACACAAAGAAAAGCTACATTAGCAAGAGAAGCAGAGAGTTTTCAGTTTGTTCTACACCAATTTGAATACATCCTTCACTGAAATGACAACCCTCCCATAAGACACTAAAGAGACAAAATTAACATTGTTAGAACTTACATAGGTTGCCAAAACCCATTGCAGATTTTTGCAAGATAAATTTTTCAGCAACGTGCTGATATCAAGTAAAATGTCAAAATGTGTCGTGTACCACAGTATAAGACCTCAGGTCGGGATTTGAATCCCCTTTGGCATAGTTGGCCTTAAGGAGGTGGTACTCAAATGGTTAGACACATTAAGAGTGGTTGAAGCTCATATAATAGCCTCTGATCATTCATTTAAGAAAAAAAAAGGAGTAAAATGTCAAAATAGTCACTGAGGCACTGACTATTTAAAAAAAGGTCATTTTAGTCTCCAAAATTTATAGATAAGAGCTCGGATATTCCTCTGTGGACCTGTAGACTAAACTGAATAGCTAAACTTCATAAACCTTACAAAGAGACAATTTTGACACTTTTATGTGTTGATACTTGATATCTGCATACAAATCTACTAGAAAAATAATACGTATAAATAGATGAAATTATCATGGCGAAAGAATCCATTAGAACATGTATAAATAATAAGAAGTTTTGAAGAAAAACAAAGAAGAAAAGAAAAAATAATGCGTTTCTCTCGTAGTTTAACATCAAAAGAAGATTTCCTGGCGTTAGAAAAATTAACCTTAAAGAAGAAAATGGTCAATCATGTGCTGTATGACATCTGCACCTTCTGATTGCATAAAGGAATACTTAACCTGTAACCAAAGAAAAGCAGGCTAAGAGACTAACCTATTCCCAAAAACTAAAATAAAATTAAAAGAGGCATTTACATATATACACCTATAGTTCATTTTTTACACCTTTTCATGCATAGGTAAGGTGACAATGTAAAAATTGAAGTTTAGGAGTTAGATATGTAAATACATAAGAATAAAGTGGCATGTGTGTAAATCTTTTCAAAAAAAGAAAAAAAGAAATAGTTAAACTACTCATTTAGATAGCTTAACAAAGTGAAGGTGGGACCTGAATGACACTGTGTGCAGCGATCCACTGTTTACTGTTATGGAAGCTAACATCTACTTTTTCCCAAGGCACTCTGGAAAGGCATGTAACCATCTCTTCTGTAGAATGCAACCGAATTTGATTGGTTAGATAGGGGTTAAAGTGCAATTTGCCTACACCTTCAATAAAAAATAAAAAATTTAGATGCATTCTACACAATTCTCATGTTTACGTATAACACACAAAGTTTGATATTTACACTCATAACACCTTGGTGTCATGAAACTATGAATGACAGGTGTATTCTACTTTTAAAAAGTAGTGATAGCGATATTTTTTATATGATGTAAAAAATTTGAGTGGCATGCATGAAAAAATGAATGTTTAGGTGTTAGATATGCAATTAAGTATGAATTGTGTGGTATCTATGTAAGTGCCCAAAAATAATCTATCCTGATCGAAGTTTCATCAGGATGAGCTCCAAAAATTGCTTTGTTTGAAAATAGGATACGTGATATGGAATATTTAGAAAAGAGCATTTTATATCTTAATATTTTGTTATTTCATTATTAAATTCATAAAAAATGAATTCACAAATTTGCATTGCTTATAAAAAATTACTGCATGTAATTAAGAAAATCGCCATTTCACCTTCTATGAAAATTGTTTTGCAAATTAATTCTAAATATTTTAAAATTTTGCTGTTTTATCATAGCATTTATACGAACAGCCTTCATTATTTTTTTATTGTCATTTTACTTTCTATAAATTTTTTTTAGAAACATTACCTTCATAGTCACAATCAGAAGGAGAAATTTGCGTATGTTGATCACAATTATCTCCCACTGAATTTTCCTCATAGACGATATGTGGATACTTTTGACTTAAAGCAAGCTCCCACTGCAGGAAATATTGATGGATAAGTTAGGAAGGGCATCAATATAAATAATAGTTTTGATATACATGTTCTAGCTAAAAGGCTAACCTTCGGCAGCTCACAATTACGTCTTATTGAAGAGGTCCTCCACCCTACAATGTCTAAGTTATGGAGTTCAGGAAATTCCAAATTAATTTCTCATTCAGGTAGAAAAATAAATTCAATTTTAACTCGAATAATGGATAATTGGTCTGAAAATCAGGAAAAAAAAATCAAATAAAGCTGGATACGATCACATCCAGCATTTGCATAGGCTACTCGGCGTATGAATGCTTTCAGGGAAGACCTGCAAGGAAAATGCTTCGCTGTTCAACCTGAAGGCCAAATAAATTTGGAAGATTCACATACATACCACTTAATTTCTATTTATTTACATATCTAATGCCTAAACTTAAGTAAAGTTTAGGTTTTAGATATGTAAATATTCCAAAAAGAAAAAAATTACACGAAATAGAAACCACTGCAATCGTTGACCATCCTCAACAAAAGTGGCAGTTCTCCATCATCATTATCAGTAAGGAAAAGGTGTCTACCAGTTCTACCAAATATCCAGTGGACAACACGAGACGCGAGTGTTTCAATGGCAGTAAAGCCAAAAAGAAATGGTACCTGTTCAAAGCAAATTAAAAGCAGTAATGATGACTAATTACATTAATTTAATAACTATGTTATAGTCTTTTTAAAGAGTTTATTTAGAAGAAATAAAATAAAATAATCACCAAAGATGAGATTAATTAAATTCTAAATGTACTAAAACAAGTTCAAATAAATTTATTATCCCCATTCATTTCATTCCCACCCATGTCACGTAAAAAAACTCTTCCAAGATTTACTTACATACCACCCAATTCCTATCTATTTACATATCATACATCTTTACTTCAATTTTTACATATGCCACATTAACTATGCACGAAAAGCTCTATTTCACTTTTTAAAAGTCAAACTAGTGATATTTTTTATTTGACATGAAAGATTTGGGTGGAATAAACATAAAAGGTAAAGTTTAGAATTGCCTCAAGATACGTAAACACATAAGAAATGGGTGGTATATGTCAATGCCTCAAATACCTTTTACTGTTAGATACGTAAACACATAAGAATTGGGTGGTATATGTCAATGCCTCAAATACCTTTTACTGTTTTTGTGATGGCCAATGCTTCACCATTAACAGCATGTTCCCCACATAAACAATGCCGAAAATGACAAAATGCCCCAAATTTGGAATAGTGGCGGCTGAAATTCAAACCATGAAAACAATGCTGTGGCAAGAGAGTAAAATTTGGAGGCATATAAATCCCAAACACTTCACCCCCATTTTCAAGATATAAAAACGATATGCAAGTCAGCAACTGCAGGTGTAAGATCGATTACAGGAGAAACCCATATTATATTCTGTTAACATCTAATTAAAAAAAAATTAGCGATTGAAATCTTTCCCAGCATTTATCAGTTATTTTCAAGAGTTTCTAATAAGCTAGTATATCATATTTAAAATAAGAACATTAGAAAAACAAATGCGCAAGGAATTCATATCAAGAATAATTAAATAAGAACATTATAAAAACAAATGCGCAAGGAATTCATATCAAGAATAAACAAATCCAAAACTAAAATTTATCAGTTAGTTGAAAGTTTACAGGTTACCTGTCCATTACCCCTGGAACCAAGATGAGGGGTAGCAACAGTAACAAAATTGATGGCTTGCAGACCGCATATAGTTCCTCTAGGGTCATTATTGTCATTGCAGTCTGAATTTTCTAAGAATTTTTCAATAGGAGGTCTATACAACTTTCCAATTGCATATCTAGCAACTAATCCTCCCACTGAATGTGCAACAAAGGATATTTTTTTCAACTCTGGTTTGCTATTAATGACATCAGCCACCTGGCATGCCAAAGAAGAAGGCTATGAGACAATAATACTCTTCTTGTCATTAAGAATTCAATAGAAATATTAAGCAAATCACTGAATAATTTGTGATTTTCCCAACAAGAGCGAGAAAGAAGAAAAATCAGCTAACTTCTTCAGCTAATCTCTCCCCCATGACATCGACTCCATCAAGCGTCAATTTGTGCATGTTGCGCTCACTACCTATAGAAAATTTGCAAGAGTAACCATTAAGAAATCAAAATGATAAGGAAGTAGTACATCTATAGGTAGAACCGACAAACTAATTTCATCATTATTAGCCATATCCAAACTGTTTGTGGCTGCTACAATGAATCCTCATTCTCTCATTTGTCACACTTGAGTTATGAACAATGAGCTAACTCTGTTATGGGAAAATCATGTTACATCTATAACCAGGTTACCTTTGCTCTAACTATTTTCTTCATATTTCTTATACACCAATTTTATTTACCCGTATATTATTGCATCTTTTACCATTAATTGTGTGTTTTCATTTTGCACTACATTTACCTCTACTGAGTGCTACTAAAATTTAACAATTTCATAGTCCGCCTTTCCTAGTTTTATCATAAATTCATCTTAGCATTCTAACTTTTATCATACTCAACTATGCTATTAATGCATTTTTTGTCATGTCCAAATAGCATAGTTACATTGTAACATTGCAACATTTACCTACGAACTTAATGATAATCTCTTATCCTAAAATATTTTGGAAGTACATAACTTAATTCTAGAAGTAGCATCCGTATCTGTATTCCCATCATTTTCATAACAGACCCCCAAAATTTATACCTATAGCATTTATAAATCATTTGATATTCCATAATATAGACCAATCATTACTACATATTTGCACACTATGATTATAATATACAAACTGGGAATACATTGAAATCTTTTTTCAGTAGTATTGACTGAAAAATGCATGAACATGTCTGTGACGGGCCAAACTACAAGATTGGGAGAGGGGAGGGAAACAGAAATACATGGAGAACTATTTCAGGTATTTAGTTCAATTTATTTTGGTTTTACATGCCAGTTCATACTTCTCTGCCATGTTTATGTTAATGTTCATTTCATTATCATGCATCTCTTTCTAAGAATCCCTCTTTCCATGCTTCGCTCTACTCATTTCATCTGTGCTTTATAAATGTCAATAATATTTTAATCTTTCAATCTTTTTGCGATCCTAAAATGTAACTTAATTTACAGGCAAATCAAATCCATATGTCAAGAACACAAGTATATTGTGTCTCATGTAATGTCCATGCCTCATAGACCATAGGGCCTAAAGCATTCTAAAATCTTTCGAAAGTTATAGCCTTCTTATCCAAACAACAAAGTTAAAAGAGCATTCTGTGAAATATCTCCAGTTATTCCAATGCTTTTTTCTTTCCTTGATCCTAAATTAAGAAAAGATCCTTTGACTAGAGATGTTCCTGGAGCATTACAAAACAAAGAGAAGATCTTCCAAGACATAAAAGCCTCATACAGTTGCATTATTGAAGCCATATAAACTTCCAATAACCATTAAAACGAAATATCAATAACTCCCCTTTCATCTCCTCTTTCATTTATTTGGTTGTACCTGATCTTTACTTGTTTTTCACTCATCAATATCAACTACAGAAGATTACACTTGGGGTTTTGTGTGGAGTCACTCTTTTTTCTTGATTTTCTTTTTCCTAGCTGGTGTAAGTGTAGTTTGTTTCAATTAGACCAAAAATTAAAATCGTCATTTATACTAATTTCCTAGGTGGTTGGTGCAAAGATTCTGATTCCAATGACCAAAAAAATTTACTATATTTTCCAATATTTATCTTAGAAGAATATACTTTAACATAAAAAAAAGTAATATTTCTTGTTTCATATTTTCATAACATTCTTTAAAAAGAAAAGGAACCTAACCAGTAGAAAAACAAGAAAATAAATTAAGAATCATGAAGACCATTTTAACAAATGACAATTGCAATGGAGTTTTCTTCTTTTTCCTCCATTAGTGAGTGTAAAAAAAATTAAAATACAAAGACAAATAAGTGAGGAGACTAGAAGAACAAATGACTATGCTAATGAGATTGAGAAGGTAGCATGAAATCAAGAAAATACAGAAAATAAATTTAGCCATTTTTGGGTGCACATATATGAGAAGAAGGGGCACTTCTGACTTTAAAAATGTGCATGTTAATAAAGCCACTTCTAAAAAGACCGTTTGATTGTCCATTAGGTAAATTAAACTTCCCATTTTTTATTGTTTAGTTGAGAGAAAAAAAGGCTAATAATCCTAATGAAATTATTTTCATATATATAATATGTATATGTAGTACATTCTACAATAATAAAATTATTTTCCTTGAATAACTTGTCTAAGCCAATGAAAAATGCCAACTAACCTTTACTTAAATTGAAGAAAATAACATTTTGAATTAAAAAAAATGAGAGATGCAGGCGACCTCGGAGAAAAATTGCAACTTACAATGCACAATGATTTTGCCAGGAAATGATTTAACAAACTGGTTTGCCCCAAACAACCAGTCAGTAGTACTGCAAAAAGAATACGCCATTGTAAACAAACTAACAATGAATTAAATGACTAATCATGAAAATTAGAATAATTTTTTATTAGATAACAGCTTCAAAACTTAATGAACGATGTCTAAACTTCAACCTCTGCTCTCTGCTATCATATTCATATTAAAAGCAAACGTGCACAAAAAGAACAATAAACAGTTTCCACGTAAAAAAGTTTTAGCAGATCCATAGCTTGCAGAAAAATCAAGTAATGTTCAATAAAGAACAAGGTTCCAATTATTTATAAGCATAGAAAGGGGAAAAAGGGATGCATCTGAACCTAAAGATAGTATCATTTCAACAAGAGGGATTATCACTGTCAGCAATACAATCAAACATCTAACCAACATTATCTGCACAAACTTCCTAATCGTAAAGAATATACTTCAGATTAATCAAATAAACGATAACAAATCACAGCAATTCGCAACACCCAACTCCGAATCACCACTCCCAAAATATTCATCAATCTCGCACAACAAAACAGCCGAAATCAAGAATCGAGATTTTGCAGATCAAAAAAGGGTATGGATCTCGTTAGAAGTCACCTGCCGAGGATTCCGTGAACCATGACGACAAGATGGTCGGGCGGCGAGGTGGGGAGCTCGGGACAAGAAATCCACATGTCCAGACCTCCATTGGGCTTATCCTCTGAGCTAACATCTCCATCTACTTCGTAACTCATCGTTCCCAGGCCCCAGCTCAGCTATGGATATCACACTACTGATTAATGAATCAATCCGCGATCTCTGAAATAGAGAAAGAGAAGACGGATGAAGCAAAATAAGATTGTAGAAGGGATTATTTTCCGCAGGAGAAAATGGAACATGTAATTGATGAATGCAAGATTCATGTGTATGATCCAATTCTATCATACCTTAAATTATTTAATTTTAATACTTACTAGAGTCAAATCATGCACGTGAAAATTATTTTTTTTTTGTGTGGACCAATTTATTTCTAAATTATTTTCTAGTCATTTCTGGATAATTTTTAATAATACCGAAATAACCTAGAAATGCCTCAAAAATAAAGACCGCGTATTATTTCTGGGTTATTTCCGTATTATTGAAAATAACATTTTTTTTTTTTTTGTGTGGACCCCTGACGTAGCTCTACGTGTGGACCAATTTATTTCTAAATTATTTTCTAGTTATTTTTGAATAATTTTTAATAATACCGAAATAACCCAGAAAAGCCTCAAAAATAAAGACCGCGTGTTATTTCTGGGTTATTTCCGTATTATTGAAAATAACATAGAAATAACTTGAAAAACATAGAAATAACTTGAAAAAAAAGCTTAAGAATAACCTGTGCCGCACGTAGAATTACGTCAGTAGTCCGGACAGAAAAAACGTTCGTGCACGTGACACATTATGATTGTAGTCCTAATATAATTTTACGTCAGGAATTTTGATGTAAAATATTTTCGTAATTGACATTGATTTCAATGACGAAATGAGGTTTATTTTTTATTTTTAAGGGTTGCTGAAATCTAACTTTTAAGTATCATGGTTGAAAATATATTAAGAATGATAAAATTATTAAAATCTGTAAACTAAATAAGAAAATGTAAATTTATTATTTATACTAAAAAATTATATTTTTATGGGAGTAATTGTGAATCCACCCCTATTTGATATGCTTTAACTACAATCTAATTATTGTGATCAAAATGATCATAAAAATTTGATTTTTACCATATATATTTACATAAATAATCCAACTATTTCATTATTTTGGCATGAGTTTTATAATAAATACCTTCATAAATTAATATTTTATTTACAAAATTAAAAATTATTTAATATTTTAAGACCTTTTTTCTTAATTATTTTGACAATATTTTTTTTTGATTAAATATAAATTTCTTACAATTTTTGTTGAAAAACTATCACAACATAAACTAATGTAAATTTACATCATTTACATACAATACAGGCAAAAAAGAAATCAATGAGAAATTAGATGGTAAATAGCACTTCATGCCAATAGCCAATAAGATAATTTTGCACAGTTATATACACTCATCCATCAAGTCTATTAATGCCTTCAGCTTGTCTTGATAGAGAAATTTCTTCTGTAGAGTGCTATCATAGAAGGAATCCTATAAAAGTTGCAGAAATCAAACTGCTCCATCATGCATTTCAATCATAGAAACAGTAAGGTTTTTCATAGCCGTTGATGGAGTAATCAGCACAATATTTAAAATTGGAAATAAAAATTTCTAAAAGAAACCTTCATAACGTTATTTATTAGTACATTGAATGTTCAAAATTTTTGCCTTTAAATGGCCTTAAGAAAATAAATTTAAAACCCACAGCTCTTAATAGGGCCTTGGGACCAAATAAATGCTACAAATTAAATTCAAGAGAAAAGAAAAAATTACAACTCTGCTTTGGATTCTAAGTCAGTTTTCTTATGACTGATTGTAGCGGGAGAGATTTGTTGAGTCTCCTCCAATTCTTCACCTAATATTCTTGATGTGAACCTTCTTGCCTCTGCATCAAGATCAGCCCACTCTGGAATTATTCTTTTAGCACCCTGCAAATTCAAATTTTATAAATTTGGCAGAAGTTGAAGCATGAAAAATGTTTTAATTTGATTGAATGCTGATAAATTAATTGATAGGTGTTTCCATGATTTAGGATTCAAATGGAGGGGGGAGAAACGATGAGGGGAAGAGTATTTTTAAATATATCTATATCTATCGATCTATCCATCTATATATATATATATATATATATATCTCTAAAAACAAATAAACAAGGTTTCTCAAACACTCTAAACAATTTTTTGATATTTTTAAAAGTAATCATATCTTAATAAAATATGCTTGACATGTTTGTTCCAAATCAAATATAAACAAAACAAAAAAAATTAAAAAATAATAAAAGAAAATAAAAAATAAAAGTGAAACCATACCAGCCCCGTTAAACAGTTTTTACCTGAAGTTTGGGTTCCTTGGTCATTGGATTGTTACAAAGATCAATGGTTTTAGCCTTGGACTTGGTCGAATTTCCGCACCAAGATTCACACCAAAGCCACTCTTGAGGAAGAGAAAATATTGGTACCGTGTGCTGAGCATAGTTTGGTAAATCCTGAAAATCAAATAACTGTCTTCAGCTTGCCATTTTGACGACAAAAAATGCTAATCTTAAAGCAGCGCATATTCTTTCTTCTTTTTTTTTCATTTTTCTTTTTATTTTTTGTCCAAAAGGTTAATATCTGGAATTTTTGTTAGCAGTGGCATGAAGAGAAAAAATAATTGGTTATGCAATACAACCATGAACAAAGCAGAACACTAATCAACATGATCATATGAGTATATCTATAAGATCTCTTCAGACAATATGATCCATGTTTGCTAAATAATAGGTTGACAACCTTTCCTGACTAAGTAGACTAGATTCCAGGACAACTTGGGATGACGAAATCATCAGATCTTGATCGGATTTATCATAATTGCCCTCACCATTCAGTTTGAGCTAAAGACAATACATTTTCATAGACTAAAACCAAGATTATTGCAATTATATGCTAAGCACTTAGCCATTATTGACTAGCCTTAATCAAAAGTTGTCTCATGATCTGGAGGGACAATTAATCATAAGGGCTTGCACTTATAAAAAACCTAAAACTAGATCTTAAAATTCTTGTAAAATGAGGACGAAGTATACCTAGGTTGGCTAGTTTATATCTAAAATCCAATCCATCTTTTGAAAATTGGAACCAAAACTATAGACTCGCTATCAAAAGAGCCGAAAGCGAATTTTCGTAGCCCACAATTCGTTGACGGTAAATAATATTTCCATTTCTTGCTACTCAATTTGAATAGGCGTGGTGGGCCTCAGTTAGAAGAAAAAATAGATGTACATCACCTGGTCAAGATTAGAAAGACTATTTGGGTCTTTACTAAGGGTCTCATAATACACCCTTAGTGTGTCTCCTGCTGCCATTTGCCTGAATTTCACCAAATCAACAACATACAGAGCACTGATGGAAAATAGCAAAATTAGATTAGAAAGTTTATGAGAAAGAAGATAAATATATAAATCATCTGACAAGGAAAGCAAAATAAAAATTTTCCACCTTATGTGATATGGTCTTCCGCGTAAATGATCCTTCCAAAAACCCTGCACAATAAAAACAATTATATAATTAAAATAAGAAAGATTTTCATACATACCACTTGATTCTTACATATTTACATATCCAACACCTAAATTTCAGCTTTTACATATACGCCACCTTAACTATCCATGAACAAGAGTATTTCACTTTCCACAAGTTAAAATAACAATATTTTTTAGATGATATGAAAGATTTGGATGGTATAAATATAAAAAAGTAAAGTTTAGGTGTTGGATATGCAAATACATAGGGATATGCAAATACAATACATAGGAATTGGGTGTTGTGCATGTAAATGCCCCTTGAAATAAAAGATAAAACAGGAAAAATGTTCCCATAGAGAAGAGATAAGAAAAATTTATAACACTAACTTGTCTCCAGAACCGGTATCCATCCATATCCTTATTGTTGTCACAGAAGGGTGTATAAGCTAGAGGCTTCCCTCTCAAATCCATGTCATACAAGACTCCCAAATCTGACCTTACAACTTGATCAGCGTCGACGAATATCACCTTGATCAGAAGAAATATCAAATTCATTTACTTTGATCAGTAAATAATTAAATAATTAAAATAAAGACAAAACAAGAAAAGTGTTGCGATAGAGATAAAAACAAAAACGTGAAAAGAAAGTATTGATTATCCAATAAAACAGCACAAGGAATATCAAATTCATTTACTTCGATCAGAAGCCTTGTGGCAAAGAGTACAAGTACCTTTTTGAGAGAAATAGGAAAAATAACATCAAGAAATAAGATTTTGTAAGCCCATATTATTCTTTGTTTCTCTTTCTGTTTATGCAACCATGTAGGCCACTTGTATGTGATGAGTTCATACTCAAATCCATATTCTTGTGCCATGTGGGGTATTACGTCCTATGCAAAACACAAAAAAAATTGTCAATAAAGACAAAAGATAACAAGTTATAATATATATCTATATCTATATATGTATATGTATATATGTGTGTGTGTGTGTGTGTGGCATTTACATACTCAGCACAGAATTCTATTGTGCCATGTACTTACATATCTCAGACCTAAACTTTCATATTTATACAAATAGAACTCAAATCTTAAATACTACAAAAAACTAGTACTATTACCGCTTTTTGAAAGTAAAATATACCCTTTCATGCATAGGTTTAAAGCACCAAAGCACGATGTATGTAAATATGAAAGTTAAAGTGAGAGATATGTGAAGATATAAGACTTGTGTGCTATGTATGTAAATTTTGCTATATATTTATATATAAGCCTAATAAAAGAAAATAAAATCATTTACCTTAAACTGAGGAGATAGGTAGTTCTTGATGAACCAAAACTTTACAGGTCTTCGAGTGTTCTTAAGAACGCTTAGAATCATGATTTTAAGAAAGCGCTCATACCTGGAGTAAAAAAAAAGAATGCAATTTCATAAATAATTAAAAACCTGCAATTGATAGAAAACAAAATCATTGGATCAATAGTTAAGAGATATTAAAAATCATTCATACTTACAAATGGCCAGATGCAACAGAGAATATATTTATTGTTTCTCCATGTCTCTCGCTCTTCTTGTTATCCTAGCATATTCAAATAAAAAATTAGAAGGAAACAAAGCAATTACTGTAAATAATATAATGTTAGTTAAAGCATTAAGCAATAGAATTAATAAAGTTCATTCACACAATTGCATATATGCATATTAATTGATCAGAAAATACATATACAAACTTGAGAGAAAGAAGAACAATTTCTACAGTATTCAGATAAGTACTTATATCAACGAGTAAGAGTGGGCAAAGTTTCTAAGAAACGTGAAATTCAGGAGTCATCAGAACAAACTTTAAAGCATTTTGCAGTCCTATTCTATCTTTAGAACAATTTGAAATTTGGTCATAAGAATGCATCTAAGCCAAGCTGGTTCATGAGCCTACTCAAGCTCGGCTCAATAAGTGGCTCGCAAGACTCGTTGGGCTAACAAGTCAAGCTTAAGCCAGCCCTGACTCGACTTGTTAGCTCATAAGCAGCCGCATTTAAGAAAATATAAAGACAAAATACATTCAAATACATTAAAACTCAAAAATTTATCTATATATTATTAAAAATATTTTAAAATTATATTTTTTACAATTTATATTAAGTGGGTTTTGTTTTTTTTACCTCTTAATTGTTAATTTTATTTGTCATTTTATTATAACACTAGCTTGAATTAACATCATTTTCTCTTTTTTAGAATAAATAAGCCAGTTCAAATTTGTAGAATTAAGCCCGAGTTCGATCTAAAACTCAATTAATTAATCAAGCGACTCGACTTGTTTACACCCCATCTGGTCCTAACAATTTGCTTAATTTTCAGAGGATGCAAGTTGAGGTATAGCCCTTTTCTTTAATCAGTAAAGTGAAATTTTCATTGACAATTAAAGATAATTTATAGCCAAACAACTTATGAAACCTAAAGCAGGAAAAAAAGTAAAGGGAGAATACATGAATATACCTAGAAGATTGAACATGAAATCACCTACTTAAAATATAGTAAATTAAAAGAAACTTGTCATAGAACCTTAAAAAAAGACAAATTTACATATATACCACAATTATCATGAATTTACATTTCTAACTCTCAAAGCTTGATATTTACGCTTATAACATCTTGGTGTCATAAACCTATGCATGAAAATGTGTATTTCATTTTTAAGGGTAGTTATATGGTATTTTTTATTAAATGTTAAATAATTGAGTGATAAGCATGTAAATATGAATGCTTAGGTGTTAGATATGTAAATACATAAGAATTGTGAGGTATGTATGTAAACGCCTCTAAAAAAAATTATACTACTTACTGAAGAACTCTCATTTCTCTTCCTTGAGAGACCATTACCAGCAATAAAGCCAGAAGCCCACTTTAATAGGTTTGCATTCCAACCAGTATGATCATCCTGCAGAAAGAGTAGCCGTAAAAATTTTACATAGTGTGCGCCATAAAAGTGCCAGAATAATTACACAGTTAGAGGCACATATATAAACATACTTTCTTCTCCTTTATATGTTCATCATCAGAGCCGCTTAATAGCTCAATATGTTCTTTTCCCTTTTGCTTCTCTACTTCTAACCGGACAAGCTTGCCCCTTAAATCATCGATTATTATTTCTTTGGAAAGAGAGAAACGTGTTCCCTCCTCATCCTTCTTCATCATGTAGAGATCTGCACTTCGACCAGGAGCTAGTTGAAGGTACCATACACTGGGCCGAACTTTCATTTGCCAGTAACCCAAATTAGCCATGACAAGAGTGTCCAATAAGTGAGGCATTTGCTGGTTGCCTAGAATAAGCTGAAGGCCTCGCGGCGGATCACGATCCTTCTCCGAACAGTGTCCTACAAGATGCAGGAGGACATTTTATTTTAGGGAAATTTACATATCTAACACCCAAAGTTTGATATTTACAATAATAATATTTTGGTGATTTAAATCTATGCATGAAAAGGAGTATTTCACTCTTAAAAAAACTGATGGTTGTATTTTTTATATGAATATGAATCATTAGGTGGGTCTTAGATATGTTACATAAGAATTATATGGCATGAAGGTAAATGCATCTTTATTTTAAGCTGAAATAACAACAGCTGAAATCACTCTCTTATGAGAGAATTGCTAACCAGTTAGAAGAAGTGCTTCGAGTTCAAAAACTGCCTGCAACGTCCTTGTGTCACCAAGATTCTCAAGCAGTATATTGTCAAGATCATGTCTAGAAACACATAATATCATCCAAAAAAAGTATCAATTCAGATCAGGAAAAACAAAATCAGAAAAAAATCAGAACATTTAGAGAAAGAAAATGAGAACCAATCCCTCACTGACTTACATTGCAATGATTGGCTCAACAAGCCATGGTTCAGGGACATCAAGATTCATTGTGAGGGTTTTGGTCAAGGGCATGTTTGCAAAAAAAGCTTTAGGGCCATTCACTGAGTGATCAATTGAGCTAAAATCATCCTGCAGATAATATTGATATTTCAGAAAATAAATACAAGAAAGGATTCAGATATAGTTAGTAATAATAGTTGAATGGATATACCATCGATGGAATCACAAATCTGTAGTAGTTTTTCAAAGGGAGATCTACGAGAGAACTCTGCAAAATATCAAAATATTGAGCATAAAAATTCTCACTAATCGATTTAAAACTAATATCAATAATATTTTTCTATTAACCAAAAATGAATGAACTGATCACCAACTAAATCAACTGCTGGGAAAACAACATAAAGGACCAAAAAAAGGAAACTCCTTTTGGTGAATAGACCAGCTTTTGAATTGCTTTGTTAAGTCGATTTCAATTCCTAAACACGAACTTTTGATTAGTCGATTTCATTTCCTTGGCACAGGAAGCTCTGATCTTGAGGCTAAGGTGTAATTTGACAAAACAGATGGGAAAAAAATATATATTGTACATAAAATAATGACTACTGTTGAACGATGGAAAGAAGCCAATAGAAAATAAATGCCAAGAAATAGCAAATTAGTTATATTCAGATCAACAAGGGGTAGGAGCAATAGGAAAACAAACACTTCACAATAAAGTGCCAAAATGATCCTTCGACTCTTTGCAATGAATCATTTTAGTCCTAGAGTCTATAAAAGTTTCAAAGTTCTTCCCATACTCTTTTAATATGAGTTAAAACAGCCCATAATTCTTTTAAGGGGAGGACTACCTTAACCCCTATTAAAAGACTTTCGGGATAGTTTAATATTTATATATACGCTGAGACTAAAATGGCCCCATACAAAAAGTTAGAATCATTTTGACCTTTTCTCTTACCAATATTGATTGGGTCATATAACTCCAATATATAGGCATAAGATGCATAACCTTGGCAATTAATTAAGCAAGCTATGCTTAGTTATGTGCATGACTAGTAAACACACATAATTTAAGAATATTTAAAACATGAAACTCACCATTGGATTTAGCACAATTCTCATGCTTGGCTGTATTCGTTTCCAAAGTATAAGAAGCAAGGGAGCAAGTTTTTGCCCTGAAGCACATAAAGGGTCGATAACAGCATCAATATGTATGCTAGAATTCCCACTGTTCAAAATGATGGCACTGCAAAACAAAATAATAGATGACGTTTTAGAAGAAGCCTAGTCAATTCCCACCACATAGATTTTTATTCATGAGGAAAAAATAACTTTTAAAAGTACTTGAATACATTCCCCATATTAGCCACACAAGTAGTTAACAACCTGTGCTTTGCATTAAGAACTTCAAAATGGGCTCTATCTGAACTTCTCTCACGATTAGACATTGCTGATGAAACCAACATTATTAGATCGCTGTAAAATTTGCTGCAAGCAAAAATAAAAATAAGATGTTACAATCAAAAGTGTTGACATACCTGGAAACTAAAATGACAGAAAATCTATAAAATGTCATCACTTGGGGGTTAGGATGATTTGTATACGAAGAGACAAAAGTTCTTTTAAAATAACCCTTATCGACTTTTAAGTAGTGTCACGTAGAGTCCAGTTTTTATGGTGGGGTTGTTAACAACTACAATGCTGGAGTAAGTTTGATCAAGATAATGGGTAGATGAGCTTAGCAGGAATCCTATGATATAAACGTATCAAAATCTAGACAAACATCATATGAAACTTCCAAGCCTATAATAAACAAAAATATAAATAAAAAAAATGAAAGTTTAAAAAGTAATTTGATATTAATACCTGACTAAAATAATGCAGTAAATGATTGATAAGGAAAATTTGTATTTCACTTCTTTGCAGACATTCGTCATTATTATTAATGATTGTGTCCCTTATTTAATTATTAAAACATATCTTGATTTAATATTTATTGCACAAAGGTACCTATATCCAATAAAAATTAACACAAAAAGGATCAGTATCCACATTTTTTTCTTTTTTTCCTTCATTCTAAAGCTTGCGTTAAAACTATTTATCCCACACAGCTTTTAGCTCATTACATATTAATAATTACTGATTTACATAAGGGAAAGCATAGGTTGGGCCTCAGCAAGATGATCTAAATTTGTCATTCATCTTAGAATTTTGATGAACAGTCCAGCGTGCATCATTAAAAAAAGATGTACATGATATAAATTTAAGAATTTTAGTATGTATTAATTATTTATAAAGATTATCGGAAGCTCTACAGTACATTATTTATGATTTAAATCATCTATTAAATTTTGTTAGAAGCACTGCAGTCCATTTTTTATGATTTAAATTACGAATGCTTCTATATTATTATAATTTATTATTGAATGATTCTAAAAATTAAAATGCATATGGTGTCACAATTAAGATAGATTAATTTTCTACTCGATCTTGATTAGTAAAAACTATGATAGGCGTTGGTAGAAATTATGCCGGCCTTCGTTGGGTCTTAGGCTTGGCTGGGAGGGGCCAAAATAAGAAAGGACATTCAGCGCCTTGGGTTTAATCTCATATGATTCTAAATCTAACTTAAAAAAAAAATCATTAGATCATCTAAGAATAGAGAATAAAAAAGAAAAAAAAAAGTGTTATTTTATTTTGGGTCATGCAAACCATTATATGTTCTTGCTCATGATAAATTGAAAAGAAATACATGTAATGAAGTCTGGTGATGTATGAATATGCACAAGAAAGTCCACAAAAAAGTAAGTCACTACCGCAGCGAGAATCAAGCATACTGATCCGTTAAAATGACAAAAGTTTGGAAAAATAAATACAGCTTGTGGTTTTTCTGTTATCCCAAACATAAATGAAATAATAATAACACTTTGGCGGACAGCAAATAGCACAAACATAGATGACGAAAATTCAAAGTAAGAAAACGCAACACTAAGTGTATACATTTTAATGCATTTATACGGGAGCATATAAAATATATGAAAAAAAAAAGTTACAGAAACAATTTCATTTCCAAATTGAGAATATAGTTTCAAGCTTCTAAAGAAAATACTCTTTTATCATCCGTAATTACCACTTCTGATCTGTCAATATGGATTAAGTGTAGCAAACAAAGTTAAGGATAGAAAAATATATAATACATTTCAAGTCAATAAAAAATGAAATGGAAAATGATTACCTTGTTAGCTCATCGGGATCAGCATTTGACCAGTCCGCTTCATTAATAATCTCATAAATATACCTAATTCGGTGCTGATATTCAACAGATTCCAGAAGCTCCAAATCATCAATTGAAAAGGAAACTCCGTTCATAAAAGCAAACACCTACACAATAAAATAACAAATTCTTAAATTATAGAAAGAGGAAAATCAATAATTACAAAAAAATTTTTGTCAATTAATATAGGTAACCAAGATGAAATTACAAATAGAGACATAATAAGATAGAAAGATTAGAAGTGTCACTCACCCTTCCATTAGTGATTATAGCATCTGAGCAAACTTCAAGTCCCAGTTGTTCATGCATAAAATAAGAAACCTACAAGTCATGAAGCAAAAACAAACTTAAGAAAAAAAGAAATCATGTTGGTAACAGCTTGTCAATAATACTTTTGACTTAAAAGATATATTTATTAAACCGCCAGAACAAAGAAATGAGGCCACAGAAGAGAATAAAATTATTAAAATTTTAATTTAAATCAGAAGTTAAGGATGATTTGCCTCCGTTAAAAGTTTCAAATGATATAGACGGCCTATTACCCCAATACAGGTCAATATCATTAAATAAATGACATAATCCACTAATTCAATCTTTTAATTAAGCAATCTCGAGCAGATTCGCAAAAATTACAGATGTTGAGTTGACTGCAATTCCTAACCACAATTAAACATAAAAATGACAAAAAGAGCTGAAATTAGATGCACAAATATCAAAAATATGTCATGAAGCGATGATGATTTTCAAAGTAACAGCAACTAAGAATGAGATTAGATGAAGATACAATAGTATTCATTTTATGTTACACAATAGCACGGCATCCAAAGAGTGTTAAAAAGCTCCAACAATATATTTTAGAAAATTCAGGGCAATAACAATATGAAGCAGAAAGAAAAATTTTCAGATGGCAAATCCAACGCAATCTTGATCAGCAAGAGAAAAGTATCACATTCAGAACCAGTAAAATTCCAAATCTAAAACAGTTAAAAGTCACTAATATAACCATTCCCACAGAAATAATGACACTTTTGCGATATAAGGAAAAGTATAGGCTATACTGATCAAACTGTAGGGAAGGAAATGAATTTCAAAATATTATATACAGTCCATCTCAACTTTTTCTTCAAAATAAAGCAACCAGCTTCAACTTGATGCACAAATAGTGGTCTGAAGTCAACTCTTAGGAAGGAAACCAATTATAGAAGAATGTCAAAATATTCCATATTACCCTTTTCAAGAAAATGAAACAATAACAGTGCAAATTACACATATTACCTTCTCGAATTGATTAATTCTCATAGATGAGGAGAACTTTGAAAGGATTGATCTAAGATCATCAGATGGCAACTCATTTGCCAGAGCAAGCTCACAAACTTTTTCTATAAAGTTGTTCAGGTTGGTAGTATCAGATGAGCAAATTTGCATGAATTGACTTTCATAGATAGAGCAAACATCGTCCAAGAAGTTCAAGACATTGCGCTTATCACTGATTTGCAGAGTTGAAAACAATAAGTAGTTATAGAATTCAGATGAGATTCAAATAACATATATTAAGGAGTAAAGTGCCAAAATAGTCCCTTGACTGCTTACATGGGGTCATTTTGGTCTCAAGCCATAGAAGTGTTAAATTAATCACCAGAATGTTTTAATGGGGCCAAAAATAATTCTCAGTGCAGACTATTTCAACCTATATTAAAAGCACATGAGGACTAAATTGACATCTATAAACCCTGGGACAAAAGTGACCCCTGCCAAGCGTCAGGGTGCTATTTTGACACTTTAATCATAAATTAAGCAAATCCAGCATTTACAAAATAAGCATTAAACAAAAAATCGTGATAATTTACCCAAAAATGGATGATGCTTTATCAAATATTTCTGCAAAAAGAAGACCAGGAGATGAGAATAAAACATCCCCATAAATCAGAACTCCAATACGGGCTTTCCTAGAATCCGCCATCTACAAGTTATCATATAAATTAGTGAAGATCGACAAACATTGTAAAGGAAAATAACGGATACATCGATGAGAACCAAACCAAGTAATGTAATCCTTCACGGAGCAAGTTTATCCCTTTCATTGATGTCACATTAACAACAAAAAGATGCGTCACTGGTTTCAGATCATCTAAAGCTGAAATAATAAATTGAATAAGTTTTAAGTATAAACTTTGTCAGAGTGGTCAGCATTAAAAAAAAACAGATATTTTAAACATCTTTAAATCTTACTTCCAGGAGAATGTAGGTAGCTGATGTCATGTAGTATAGATTCCTTTGCAATGTATGATTTGGCAATAGAAATAAAATTGTTTTTTTCCTTCCCGCCATCAACAACCTTAAGAATTAGGTGATTATATGTCATTTATTAAACTTAGTAGTAATGGTTAAGGAAAGTTTCTTTTTGATTTCTTACCTGAGGGTTATAGCGGCGATGACCACTTTCGGATAGAAATTTATCTAAAACATCTGTATTTGAGGTAATATGTCCATAGTAAACTTGCTCCTGAATCCGAGGAAGCTCCTCGTTCATAGCATTTATTGAGGAATCCTACATTTACAGTATATGAAGATAGAGAAGATGCTGAAGTTTACCTAGAGTTTCATTAAAAAGGGAAAACAAAGAATTTTTTTAATGCGGCCAAGCTAATAGACTTTCTATTACTGCATTACTATTGTTACTCCAGCTGAAGAGAAACTAGAGTTCATATTTAGTAAATTAGTCAAGCATCAACTGAAATTGAAGCAGAAGAAAACAAATACAGCGTACGGAGAAAATACTAATATGATACCACCAGCAGTTTCATTAGCTCCAAGTAACGAGGATAAATAAGCATGGAGCAAACTATCAAAAATGAATCGGTAGAATACTGTCATAATAACGTTTTTTTGGGTAATAATTGAAAGAAATTAATTTAAATGAATTAAATAAATAAATTAGTAAAATAAATTAATTAATTAATTAAAAACATTTAAAGTTAAATTAAATCTAAATTGAAGTTATATTATATATATTTATATAGATACATACATACATACATACATACATACATACATACATACATATAAAATTAACGCCTAATGACACTAGCTAAATAAGTTTCGTTCTCATGGCTAGCATGCTGCTTGCGCACGACATAACTAAGAGCTCAATGCCCTCGGTGAAGCGAAAGAGAGAGAGAGAGAGAGAGAGAGAGAGAGAGAGCTCTGGAAAACTTAAGCAAGCTGCAATCTAAAGTGAGGAGGGCTTTACAACAAGGAAAAAAATCAAATTTGATCCAATTAGGTAAGAATTTTTAAAACTAGATTTAGGGCTTCACTTCATTAATTCTTGACACAAGCGCTAGCAGTAGCTTCAGGGTTTTTTTTTTATGTGTGCGGAAAGGGGGGGGGACCTTTGCTATCCAGGAAGGCACCTCGCCTGTATTCGTTTGGGATTTTTTTTTTTTTTTTTTAATTTTTTTTTTTTCCCACCCTCTTATTTATGTATAAGTTTCCTTTGCACAACAAGAGTCTATAAATTGCTATCCTTAGTGTGTGGGGAGTCGGCTCTAGTGAAATTATCTTTTGATCTTCTGTGTGGAGTCTCTTCCCACTTGTTAGAGTTGTATTCGACAACAGGTAGTTCTTCGGCTGTATCACGTTCCGAGGTGGTGTTGTAAAGTTCCAATCTCTTTCGCCTCTTCTCCTCGACACCTTTCCCTCTCCCTAGCTGCCAACCACCCTCATATTCCTCCACCACTCTACCGCCACCCCCATTTCCTCCACGACCTTGCCGTCCGACCTACCTACAACCAACCAAACACAATCCATACACCTAAACAACCACTCACCCTGCCGACGCCGCCACCACCTTCAAATCTTTTCTTATAGCCCCTAACTACAGATTTGTCTATTATTGTATTTCCCTTTTGTTTGAATCGTGTTGTAACACAATTTTTATATTAATAAAAGTTTGTTTTTTTGTTCTGCCACATCCCAACGAGTTCTGTAATCATTTGTTATCAGAGCTAGACCAACCCTAGTCCCATTCTAAGGTTTCCTAGAATCTGCAACTACCAAATCCATCTCCATCAAATTTTTTCCCTCTGATTCCCAAACCTAGTCATGTCACCGCGATGAGATACATAGGGCTCTACTCGGGAAGAGATGCAACGAGAAATTCGACGTCTGCAACAAAGACTAGCCGTGTTCGAAGATTGAAACCGGCAAGAGATTACCTTCGACCGTGATCGAGAAAGTCGAGGGTAAGATAGGGACAAGGATCTGAATCTGTTCCACAAGAAAAATCACAATGATGAGAAGTATCAACCGCACCATTTTGGTATCTAAAATCAAAGTAGGCCGAGAAAAAAAAGCATCTTATGGAGGTCAGCGGGACTTTTCCATCTAGATGGACCTTCCAGAGTTTGAGGGCGGCATGGGCCTCGATGAGTTTATCGACTGGCTACAAGCAGTCGAACAAATTTTCGAGTATAAAGACGTACTAGAGGACAAACGAGTCAAGCTGGATGCAATTAAACTATAGAAGAATGTCTCCATATGGTGGGACAATCTATAAAGACAAAGGATGAGAGAAGAAAGTAAAAAGATAATTAAGTGGGAGAAGATGAAGAAGACAATGCCGAAGAAATACCTCCCACCGCAGTATCGCAAGGACATGTTCCTAAAACTCCACAACTTACAACAAAATTGTATTAGTTGAGGAATTCAGAACTTAGTTCGACCATCTGTAGTTAAAGTGTGAGCTGACAGAGCCAATGGAGCACAAGACAGCCAGATATCTCGGGGGTCTAAAGCCCGCCATTAGCAATGTGGTATAGCTACAACCATACTGGACGGAGGATGTCCAGCTAGCCCTAAAGATGGAGAGGCAGCAGAAGCAAAACAAGCAACAATTGTCCTTTAGACCACCACCTTCAGCCAAGCAGTAACCAGCATTGGACAAGGAACTGATAAGGAAGATTATAGCACGAAGAAGCTAGAAAAAGGTGGTTCCTCCAATACAGTGCCAACAGGAAGTGTTTCAGGTGTCACAACTACGGTCACATAGCCTCCAACTGCCTAATAAGCCAAATCGTCACACTCACAAATCAAGGCATCATCGAGGAAGTCGATAAGGAATTAGAGGAGAGTCCAGAAGAAGAGCTTCAGCACCACGGAGATGAAAGCGAAGCGTTAGTCGTTTGAGAAATACTGCAGTCCAAGCTTGAGTGGGACCAATCCTGGATAAGGCATAGCATTTTTCACACCAAATGCATCGTCAAGGGGAAGGTCTGCAGCCTGATCATTGATAGTGAAAACCGCAAGAATTTGGTGTCCACGCTCACGGTGAAAAAGTAGGATCTGAAACACAGAAGCATCCCCATTCAAATTCCCTTACCTGGCTGAAGAAAGTAAACGAGATCTGTGTGGATCAGCAGTGCCTAGTTGATTTCTTCATCGGAGACTAGCTACACGAATAAGTATGGTGCAACGTGGTTCATATGGACACCTGTCACATTTTGCTAGGAAGGACTTAGCAGTTTGGTCGCAAGACTCGACACGATGGGTTCAAGAATACTTATTCTTTTAAGAAGGATGGAAACGTATCGTTTTACTACCTGCTAAGGATGCAAAAAGCAGAAGCGTACAAAGGCAGCATTAGTTTTTCGTACTACTTTCATGCAGACAGTTAGAGATGTCCCTGTAACAGTAGCATTAGTCCTCCTAGAAGAAAGCGAGGAGGAAAGAGAGGTATCACCATTATTGCAACCATTGCTACAGTACTTTTAGGATGTTATGATCGACAACTTACCAGAGGGATCACCGCCACTAAGGGACATCCAACACGCCATCGACCTTATACTAGATCTGTATCGCCAAATCGACCAGCATACAGATTAAGACCAACATAGTATGAAGAAATACATCGACAAGTGCAACATCTCGTCGCAAGGGGGCTAATTAGAGAAAACACCAGCCCGCGTGCAATCCCTGCCCTAATGGTGCCCACAAAGGATTGATCATGGCGAATATGCATCAACAAGATTACCTTCAAATGCAAATTTCTTATACCCCGCTTGGATGATCTCCTAGACCAACTACATGGAGCAATTATCTTCTCCAAAATAGACTTAAGCAGTGGACATCACCAGATACAGATGAGGTCAAGAGATGAGTGAAAGGCCGCCTTCAAGATGCGAGACGGACTTTATGAATGGATCATTATGTCTTTCAGTCTATCGAACGCACCTAGCACTTTCATAAGATTAATGAACCCGATATTCCAACCTCACATTGGAAAGTTTGTCATTGTCTACTTTGACGATATTATAGTATAAAGCCGGTCGGAGGAGGATCACTAGCATCGCATGAATTGCCTGGGAACTATAAAATTTTAGCCACATTCAATGCTGAAGGCAGTATTCAAGGTACTACGAGCCGAACAACAATATGCTCATCCGAAGAAATGTCATTTCATGACAAGCAAAATATGTTTTTTGGGTTATATCGTGCCTAATGCAGGCCTTCAGATGAATCCCGTAAAGATAGAGACCATTATCAATTGGGTTGTACCACAATCATTCATCGAGCTAAGGCATTTTTTAGGGGTGACATCCTTCTATCGAAGATTCATCAGAAACTTTGGCACTATCACTTCCCCCCTGACTGAACTTTTGAAAGGGAATGAGTTTGCTAGGACAGTAGTAGCCTAGGAAAGTTTTGACACACTAAAAGAAAAGGAAACTCAGGCATCCGTGCTAGCACTACCTAACTTCAATCAACTTTTCGAGATAGAATGTGATGCCTCCGACGTGAGGATTGGAGTTGTACTAAACCAAGGAGGACACCCCATAGCTTTCTTCAATGAGAAGTTAAACGAGTCCAGCAAAAAATACTCAACTTACGACAAAGAATTCAACGTCATCGTAAGAGTTCTGGAACACTAGAGTCATTACCTATTGACAAACAAATTTACACTATTAACAGATCACGAGGTCCTAAAATTCCTCAATAGCCTGAGCAAACTAAAGGGATGACACGCCACATGGGTGAAATTTCTAATCTCATTCCAGTTTGTGCTAAAACACAAGACAAGAAGCCAAAACTGCATAGCATATGTATTGAGTCGTCGACACCTACTGATCACATCCATGCAGGCTCGAGTTGCGGGCTCCGAGATCATAAGGGATCTATATAAAACAGACAGAATTCAAAAACATATGAGAACAATGCCAAGAAAACCAGTAGGGCAATATTACCGCACAGATGAATATTTGTTCTACCAAAGTCGGTTGTGCATTCCTCCGTAATCACTAAGGGAGGCCATTGTCCATGAAGGCCACAGTGGTGGCCTAGTAGGTTATTTTTGTAGAGAGAAGACGCTTGCCCTCGTACGAAAGCATTTTTTTGGGCCAAAATTGACAAGAGCTATAGAATGACATATCAGGCAAGGCAGGATATGTCATCTGACAAAGACGAGCTTAGGAAGTCGGATTAGACACACCACTTTCGGTACTAGAGGCACCATGGGTGAACGTCAGCATGAATTTTGTGCCGAGACTTTCA